GTAGAAATGCAGAAGCTGGTCGTCCACAAAAAACATCGGCCTGTGAAGAGATATGTCTTAGGAGACTTTTTAATGCATGCTGTTCGAAAACCTTCAGTGAATTACAGAACACGTGGAGTGACAGGATCTAATTCTGGGCGAACTACGCCTATACACATATTCGAACATTAAGATTTCAATCCAGTAAATGTAAATGAAAACCTTTAATAACAACAGCTAAGTATCGACGAGATAGATGCAACTGGACTGTGACGAATTAGAACCGGGCAATCTTCAGTGATGAGAGTAAATCATCATACTTATTGAAGATAATGGGCCTATTTAGCGAAAAAAAACGAAGAATTGCATCCTACTTGTACCAGAACGTACGTGAAGTGTCGTGGATTGTGATTGCTTGACGTCTCGAGATTTAGAAAAATTACTACTTATAAAATAAACTGTTACCTATAAAAGAAACTGTTAATTCCGAAATATACGAAAGCATACTTGACTACGGATTAGGCGAATCGATAGAACAACACTTTGGTGATGAAGACATCAACTTCCAGCAAGATTTTGCTCAAAGCACATCAAAAGATTGTTTGCTAATCACAAGATACGTGCTTCGTCATGGGCTATAACTTCTCTCGATTGCAATCCGATCGAGATGGTATGGAAGCTTATGGAGCGTGAAATAAGCAGTTAGCCAACGCCAACCAACAGTTGAATAATGCTCTTTAGAATATTATTCAATTTGTTTGGGATGACTTTTCCATTGCTGATTGCCAGAACCTGTATAGTTCGATGCCAAACATATGTCGCGCAGTGTTATGTAGCAAAGGCTACCTCACCAAGCACTAATTACGTATTTGTAGAACAGTAAAACTTGGGATGTTTCGTCTTGTGACTATGCAAAAAATTCGAAATGGTTTACAGAATTCGCATGTTCTATTGAAATATCTGTGATGTCAATATAATACATATAATCTGTTAATGCTACTGTCATTCGCATTGCTATAAGTTTGGTTGCTTTATTCAAATATAGAATTATTTATCTTCCACACGTGCAATTAATACAAAAAACGATGTCTTAACTCATTTTAACTATTAAACTTCACATAATTAATCAAACTTGCAGTTATGCAAATAATTGTGAATCGTGTAGTAAGATGCTAGTGTCTACATCTTTATTTTCTATCTAACACTAGTTTAACATGATAATTGTTATGCAAATATATCAATCTGTCCGAATCGTAAATATCATTAAGCATTGTTCTTATATTACTTTGTAGATTTTAGAATTTAGTTGTAACTTTCTTAAGTCTTAATTAGTAAAGTTTAATAATGTAAAGTTCTCCGTAACTAAACCCAAAAGTTTATAACTATTCATAATTTTTAACGATTTATTTAAAATTATTAGACATAAAACCGATGTTTGAGCATTATTAGATTATTCGATTTAATTCAAAACGCATTGTGTAAATTTACTTGTTCAGAATAAAGGGATTTTTTTCTTTTGTCTTAATTAGACATTATTTATTAATGTCATGGCTCATTTAATGCCAATTAATGTAGCTTTAGACACCAAACAATATATAAATTATAGCATTATTTTCGATAAACCTCAAACTAAAGCATTATCTTTTGACAGAGAAAACAAAAAACGAAATTCCGAATATTCAAATGGAAATTCGCAACAAAAACATTTCTGATTAAAATCTATGTAATCACTCATTATTTTTGTTAAATATTTAATTATTTTCTCGCGTTTTTAATAATAAATAACAATAATACATTATGCAATTATGTTCAAAGCGAAGTTTAAAGTAAACAAATTATAATTTATTTCTTCCAGCTAACTTTTTAATTTATAATGTTAAAATTCAATAAATTCAAATAGTTCATTTTTAAAAATTTATTATTCTAAAGCTTGTTAACTAAAAATATAGGCTAATTTTATAAATTTTGGAAGTTTTATCCACGATTCTAATTAAAATTAAAACGTTTAAACGCATAATGGAGATCGGTTTATCAAAAACTAATGATTTGTACACTTTTATTATGTCATTTTATGTTTATAATACAATTATTTTTTCAAATTATAAATATTTAAGGCATCACCCGCATATTTCAAGGCATGCAATTATATGCAATAATTTCGGATAGTATTTTATTTTTATAAGCAGTTTTTTATGGTAAGCAATATCTAAACATAGTTTAACTACGCTGGAAAGCTATATAGCATTTAATTTGCTAAGGGGCATTTTTTTAATTAATGCTAATAAAAATAGAATTGCCGTGAGAAAAATATCAATAGACTCGAGTTTGACGAATTATATTGAAAAATTTTTATATAAAAAGTAAAAACGAAATTTTTAATCAAGTATTATTTATTATATTGTATTTTAACAAGACAGCAATAATATGCTTAGAAAATAGTATAATATTATATAAAATAAGGTCCCGAACTGCTTTAATATACCTGAAAGAATTGCTACAGCTGTTTCTATTATCCCCAGATGTGTCGTTTCAACCATTTGAGTACAACAGTTACATAACTGGAAGTAATTGTAGCAGAAGGCATTACAACATAACTTTGGTCTAATACCGGACAGTAGAAAACGGGTCACGATAAATGATTGATACGATATCCCTACAGGCTAAATTCTGATAATGTTAAATTTCAACGACATCTGCAGAAAATGGCGTAGATTTCCACGAATAAAAAAAAAGTAGAATAACAGTAAATTTAATATAAATTTAATATCGAATTTCTTATAATTGTTCTACTAAAAATACTTAATTAACATAAATAAATGTTTTTCTATAAATACTAAACGATTGTAATTACACGGATTAATTAAATTGTTCGATATTTTTACAAAATATTTACCTTTCTTTTATTGTTAATCTTGTTTAAACAACGAGTCGAGTTTTGAATAATTTATAGTTTAAATTAATTATTCAATAGTAAGATAAAATTATTTTGCTTGTTAATATTTTGTTTACCGAGCTAAAATAAATGAAAAAATCGAATGTATAAATGCATAATATATAAATTTTATTAACATATTAAATAACTTTATTCTTTAAACGCGATCGTTATCCATTTGCAACACGTTTTCCTCCCTTGTCGTCGCCATTATCTCACTTTACTGTGCACTGAATTTCAAGCATAAACTGGAGGCGGATGAATCGCGTCAAATTTCAAAAACACATTTATAAAATACATCAAAATGAACTCCTTCTGAAAGCTAATGATATTTTGTAAAAGACTATTTCTATTCTTCACACTTATTTTCACAAAATTTTGCTAAACTTGAATATTATGTATGAAAATTTATTTAAGTACAGTACTTCATAAACTTGATTTCATAAGTAAAAATATATTCGAATTTTAATTTTAAGATGTTTTTGCTAACGATTATTGTTTTTTTTTTTTAAATCTTACTCGAATATCTCTATATAAACATGGCTATTTGCTTCATTTTCAATCACGAGATTTCAACGAAGCTTTTTAAGATAATTCGATTCATCGATATCTTTTATTCATCAGCTTTAGTACGAAATAAAATTTCACAATATGAGTAAAAAGTAAAACGATAGAAGTTAATGTTTCCTTGAACAATTTTTTTAAATTCTTAGTTAAAATACTGACAATCATTATAATACAGTCACAAGTATAATTAGATATAAAAAGTTACTTTAATCATACTTAATGTTTTCATCCAATATGACAATTCGCACGTAAATCCAACGTACTGTACATACGTTCAATTACTATAATATATTTATGAAATGCCACTTTCGACTATTATAAATAGTTATTATCCTTTAATACTTTCGCTCTAATTGGCGCGTAATTGTTTAATTTTAACTCGATTCGTCCTCCAATCCCATTCATTAGATTCATCTTAAGATATTATTTGCTTTAAAAAAATCATTATTTTTATAATTTTTCTTGTGTTATTTTATAATTTACGATAAAAATAATAAGTTATGTTGATAATATATTCAGTAGAAAAAGAATTTTAAGNTATTTGGTAATAATAACAGCACTGTAAATAATGCCCATACTTTTCCAATTTTTGTTACTTTTTCTTCTGAAAGTAAGGTTCAATATTTTTAATACGTTTTAGTTTTATCATTTCAAACAACTTTTTCTGAATTTAATGCTTGTATTAAACTTATACGTCTAGTTAATGTTATGAATATCGTAACATCGTATATAATATTTTTAATTTCGATATTTCATTTTATTAAAGATTTTGAATAGAGTAATTTAACTGAAATTCTTTATTTTTTCATAACATTCGAGTGAATTTGCTTTCTAACCCTCTTTTCAATCTTAACAATGAATTTCAAAGTAATTATGTCGTATCCGTTTACCTTGTCGGTTTCGATAAATCTCCAAATAATGATAAAGACAAAACGAGCCATCAGCAACAACTGTTTACTACGTCATGATTTATGAGGTCAAAGATAAGTACAACAGAAGAATCTTCAGATATTCCATCTCATTCAAGTCTTCTCCCTTCCTGTGTCTATTTAGTACATTAGACACAAGAATTAATTGTGAGTTGGATGATTAATCATCTCCATTTCCATCAGGAGGTGTTTGAAGTTATTAATTATCGCTATTACTCTCTTATTACAAAAATGAAGTATGGCTTACACAGTACTTTGTTTTTCTAATTCATTGACAAATTATCGTATATATTTTCATGTGACACGATACATGTTTATATACCGCTATTAAGAAGATTGCACCATTTACTCTACTTTCATTCTTTAATATAAAAATCTATAAATATCTTATANAATTTCTGATGTAAGTATTTATCAATATAATATTTGCGTTATATTTACATTATCATATATTTGTAATTACATTAATATTTTTTCTATGATTGTACAGTAATTATGTAAATTTGCATTTTGTTTTCTTTTATTATTGATGATTTTGAATTTTTCGTCTCTGAATTCAATTTTTCTAAATTTGGGCATTTTTTTAAATCTAGAAATCTTCAAAGCAACAATATCACAATATTGCCAGATTTTGTTTTTCAACACTTGTCCAAACTGAAAGATCTGTGAGTAAATATACTATTTATATATATTTCTTCGTATGTACTGTACAGTACTTTGATGCGAACATTAAATATTGCCATAAATTTTAATAATAGTGGAAAAAATGTCATTATTATTATATTTTCTGTGAAAAATATGATAAAAAAGTTTTATTTTATGTTCTAAAAATAAATAAATTAAGACTATTAGAACGTAAAAAAGTATTTTATTGAGAATTACATTTGTTTAAGCTTATTTAGCTTATACTGTAATAAAATTTGATTATTTAAAGAAACGATGATAAAATTTTACTCAAACAATGTCGTAATTCACAATCGTTAACACCATTTCTAAAAATAATTTTTACTTTTAATAGTAAAAGTAAAAATAGAAATTAATAAAACAATATTTTTATTTAATTACTCTGTTTTAATAGTCAATTAACCAGAAAATAAACAGATTTCTTTTGGTTTAGATAATAAACTTATGCCTGAAAGTTTATTTTCTTTAACGTTTTTTCTCACTTTTTATTGAATCTATGGGGAGATTGTATTGAGTAATAAAACTTTTATATCGTTTCTAGCAATTTGGCCGATAATCAATTATCAAATCTTTCTCGTGAAGTGTTCTTCGGTCTTGACAAGATAAGAACTCTGTAAGTATTTACGTTATTTTAAATTAAATTTATGAATAATTATTTGCATCTTCTGGTGTTATAAAGATTTTTGTTTTTCAAACCTTAATTATGATCTGAAAACTTATCGATAATGTAACAATTTATGAAAATAAGATACGTTCTCAAGAGAAAAAAACATTACATTATTTCAAAAAGGAAGTAAAGGTATAAACTGTAGAAATCCGTAATTTTAATCATTATTAATGTTAAAAAGGATTAAAAATTTAATTAAATTGCAATTCGCTTATTCGATTCATCAGCTTTTGTATCAGGAACGAAGCGAATGAATAACTTTAGATACTCAAATACTAATACAAAAAATAAATATATTTTAATAACCGTAACTGAATAATATAATGTATATCTCGTGAGTAAACGTTCGTGAGTTAATAGTTGAGAAGAATAATAAGTATAAAATAAATTATTTGAAAAATAAATAATCTAATTTCAGTGTCGTTTTCTATTTTATTTTTTCCTTAACTATATTTATTATATAATTTTATGTTGTTTAGTTTATATTTATGTATATACATACACACACACACAGACACACTCGGTTTAAAATTAAGTATTAATAAGAAATTATCATAACAAATTAACAAATATTAATGTTATATTTTCCTTAATAATATTAAAAATATGAACAATTATTTTAATGATACTGTAAAATAGCCTTTGTTTAAAAAATTATAATTATAAAACGCATTTTAATAGAATATAAAACTTAAAATAATTTAAAATAAAACAATATATGTTTAACGACTTAAAAGAATATGGTTTAGTATTGGTAAACTTATTTACTTGAAAAATCGTTTATTATAATACAAAATTCTTTTTAAAAAAGGCACAATAAAGCTTTATTTATTTTGCTGACGTTTTTGCATTTCTTAACTTTTGGTTGCTTTTAGTTGGAAATATCTTTAAGCACATACAATCTATCAGTTCATAATTGCAATTATTATCAATTCCCTTTTCTTCGCCCAGTTCCTTGCAGAGCAACAAATTAAAGAATGTATCAAGTGCATTTCAAGAGTTTTTGTTGTTGGAAAATTTGTGAGTNATAATTGTCTCAGAGTAATTAGTTATCGATAAAAATGACTTTCGTGTTTAAAAATAAACGTCATCAACTTCACAAATTTGTTTTTGGAGATCTGGAATGGAAAATTTATTTTCAGTCGTATTATATGCTTTTAAGGATCAAGTAATCAAAAATTCTTCTTGATTACTTGATTCGTGACATTGCGCGATTGTCTACGATTATTTAAAATTATTGCAAAATTCTTTACTGTAAATTAAGCAAATGAATTGGTATGGCATAATTAAGATTTAAATTATCTGATAAAGTAATTATAAATCTAGATATTTTCACTCACTTTTTATCATTGTTTATGAAGTTTATAAGCTTGGGTAATAACGGAATTATCTTCTAGCTGTATCAAATATTAAGTTAGTATTGTCTACTCTGTCACGTCTCGATAATTGCTATTAACGAAACTATAATGATCAAATTAAGAATTAAAGAGAATAATTACTTTATAACAATTTAATGATAAATATCTTTAATTATCTAAATGGTTCGAAGATAACGAAGAAATTATTTCTTAAGTTTTAGAATTGTAAGCTTATGATGAATATCTATGAAGAGATTTTTTAATAAAAAAAAAGAAGTTAAAATTATTTTCAATTTCGTTAACAATTTTAAATAGTTCTATATTAAAATATAAATCTATCGATATTATTAAAATCTACATCAATTATTTCTTAGTAATTTAGAATTTATAATTATTTAATCGGTGTAATATGACTTAAATAACTTATTAACAGTAGCAGTTTACGTCACGTTAATAATATCACTAACAGATTAAAATGTTACAGAAAACTTGTATTTAAAATGGTATAACAGTTATATGAATTCTGAAATATGAATTATATCAATAAGTGAGTAATTTTTTATTAGAGATCCTCGTAATTTCGTTACCTTAAAATGTATAATCTAATCGTTCCTCAAATGAAAAATAAAACCGATTTAATTTTAAATGCTTATATAAAGATACAAAGTTAACGGAAATATTTGTCCACAGTGAAACGTAAACCCGTTGACAATTATATTTAACCAGTCCAAGTTTATTAATGATGTGGTTAAATACCATTACTATCGAGATTGCTTGTTAAACGGTGTAGATTATTGTTATCTATTTATCTGTATTATATTTTCAAGTTCTATCTCAAATCATTCTCTCTTTACGAACAAATTCACATTCGTATTAAGCAAGGTTTGCCTTACACACTATTCACTCACAATTATTTGCATAATTACTTTTCTGGTAGTTAACGCGGACTTCATTAAGGTAATACAAATTAATTTGCAATGTTAGGAGAGGTTCTTGGTCATCTAAAACATAAGCGATAGGCCTAGTCTGTTCTTTCCGGTAATGCAGTGTGATGAAAACGTTATACGATTTAATAGATGTCACAATATGTTTCAGAACTCGGAAAACACTGTACGTGCTGAAAACTGTTCAGAAAAATTTGCATATTTCTCATTAAAATCATTTTGTGCTCAATAAAGTGATATCTGAATAGTCTCTAGGTTGTACCATGTCGCAAGATCTCTGAACATGGAAAGTAAAAAAAGAAGACTGACAGACAGCGTGAAGAAAGTCACGATACATTTGCATGAAAATGGTATAAATCAATGCGAAATTTCTAAAAAAAGAAAAAATCGTGAGGCCAACCAGTGGCCAAGCAGTTCCGTTTCGTTCCCTGAACACTGAGAGTTCGGTCCTGGGTTCGAGCCTCGCCTGGACGGGCTGGCTGTGTGGAGTTTTCCGGGTTTTATCCACGTCTGTAACGCCTGAATAGAGGCCAGTTATCCTTAAAAAGACTTCCCGGAAGGCGCCCCTTTAAGGCATATTGCCCAAGTGTTGCGTTGTCATAACTTAAATTAATAAAACAAAAATTTCAAGTGATTTCTGCAGCAAAGAATCATCAGTTCTTTAATTGGTAGAAATGCAGAAGCTGGTCGTCCACAAAAAACATCGGCCTGTGAAGAGATATGTCTTAGGAGACTTTTTAATGCATGCTGTTCGAAAACCTTCAGTGAATTACAGAACACGTGGAGTGACAGGATCTAATTCTGGGCGAACTACGCCTATACACATATTCGAACATTAAGATTTCAATCCAGTAAATGTAAATGAAAACCTTTAATAACAACAGCTAAGTATCGACGAGATAGATGCAACTGGACTGTGACGAATTAGAACCGGGCAATCTTCAGTGATGAGAGTAAATCATCATACTTATTGAAGATAATGGGCCTATTTAGCGAAAAAAAACGAAGAATTGCATCCTACTTGTACCAGAACGTACGTGAAGTGTCGTGGATTGTGATTGCTTGACGTCTCGAGATTTAGAAAAATTACTACTAATAAAATAAACTGTTACCTATAAAAGAAACTGTTAATTCCGAAATATACGAAAGCATACTTGACTACGGATTAGGCGAATCGATAGAACAACACTTTGGTGATGAAGACATCAACTTCCAGCAAGATTTTGCTCAAAGCACATCAAAAGATTGTTTGCTAATCACAAGATACGTGCTTCGTCATGGGCTATAACTTCTCTCGATTGCAATCCGATCGAGATGGTATGGAAGCTTATGGAGCGTGAAATAAGCAGTTAGCCAACGCCAACCAACAGTTGAATAATGCTCTTTAGAATATTATTCAATTTGTTTGGGATGACTTTTCCATTGCTGATTGCCAGAACCTGTATAGTTCGATGCCAAACATATGTCGCGCAGTGTTATGTAGCAAAGGCTACCTCACCAAGCACTAATTACGTATTTGTAGAACAGTAAAACTTGGGATGTTTCGTCTTGTGACTATGCAAAAAATTCGAAATGGTTTACAGAATTCGCATGTTCTATTGAAATATCTGTGATGTCAATATAATACATATAATCTGTTAATGCTACTGTCATTCGCATTGCTATAAGTTTGGTTGCTTTATTCAAATATAGAATTATTTATCTTCCACACGTGCAATTAATACAAAAAACGATGTCTTAACTCATTTTAACTATTAAACTTCACATAATTAATCAAACTTGCAGTTATGCAAATAATTGTGAATCGTGTAGTAAGATGCTAGTGTCTACATCTTTATTTTCTATCTAACACTAGTTTAACATGATAATTGTTATGCAAATATATCAATCTGTCCGAATCGTAAATATCATTAAGCATTGTTCTTATATTACTTTGTAGATTTTAGAATTTAGTTGTAACTTTCTTAAGTCTTAATTAGTAAAGTTTAATAATGTAAAGTTCTCCGTAACTAAACCCAAAAGTTTATAACTATTCATAATTTTTAACGATTTATTTAAAATTATTAGACATAAAACCGATGTTTGAGCATTATTAGATTATTCGATTTAATTCAAAACGCATTGTGTAAATTTACTTGTTCAGAATAAAGGGATTTTTTTCTTTTGTCTTAATTAGACATTATTTATTAATGTCATGGCTCATTTAATGCCAATTAATGTAGCTTTAGACACCAAACAATATATAAATTATAGCATTATTTTCGATAAACCTCAAACTAAAGCATTATCTTTTGACAGAGAAAACAAAAAACGAAATTCCGAATATTCAAATGGAAATTCGCAACAAAAACATTTCTGATTAAAATCTATGTAATCACTCATTATTTTTGTTAAATATTTAATTATTTTCTCGCGTTTTTAATAATAAATAACAATAATACATTATGCAATTATGTTCAAAGCGAAGTTTAAAGTAAACAAATTATAATTTATTTCTTCCAGCTAACTTTTTAATTTATAATGTTAAAATTCAATAAATTCAAATAGTTCATTTTTAAAAATTTATTATTCTAAAGCTTGTTAACTAAAAATATAGGCTAATTTTATAAATTTTGGAAGTTTTATCCACGATTCTAATTAAAATTAAAACGTTTAAACGCATAATGGAGATCGGTTTATCAAAAACTAATGATTTGTACACTTTTATTATGTCATTTTATGTTTATAATACAATTATTTTTTCAAATTATAAATATTTAAGGCATCACCCGCATATTTCAAGGCATGCAATTATATGCAATAATTTCGGATAGTATTTTATTTTTATAAGCAGTTTTTTATGGTAAGCAATATCTAAACATAGTTTAACTACGCTGGAAAGCTATATAGCATTTAATTTGCTAAGGGGCATTTTTTTAATTAATGCTAATAAAAATAGAATTGCCGTGAGAAAAATATCAATAGACTCGAGTTTGACGAATTATATTGAAAAATTTTTATATAAAAAGTAAAAACGAAATTTTTAATCAAGTATTATTTATTATATTGTATTTTAACAAGACAGCAATAATATGCTTAGAAAATAGTATAATATTATATAAAATAAGGTCCCGAACTGCTTTAATATACCTGAAAGAATTGCTACAGCTGTTTCTATTATCCCCAGATGTGTCGTTTCAACCATTTGAGTACAACAGTTACATAACTGGAAGTAATTGTAGCAGAAGGCATTACAACATAACTTTGGTCTAATACCGGACAGTAGAAAACGGGTCACGATAAATGATTGATACGATATCCCTACAGGCTAAATTCTGATAATGTTAAATTTCAACGACATCTGCAGAAAATGGCGTAGATTTCCACGAATAAAAAAAAAGTAGAATAACAGTAAATTTAATATAAATTTAATATCGAATTTCTTATAATTGTTCTACTAAAAATACTTAATTAACATAAATAAATGTTTTTCTATAAATACTAAACGATTGTAATTACACGGATTAATTAAATTGTTCGATATTTTTACAAAATATTTACCTTTCTTTTATTGTTAATCTTGTTTAAACAACGAGTCGAGTTTTGAATAATTTATAGTTTAAATTAATTATTCAATAGTAAGATAAAATTATTTTGCTTGTTAATATTTTGTTTACCGAGCTAAAATAAATGAAAAAATCGAATGTATAAATGCATAATATATAAATTTTATTAACATATTAAATAACTTTATTCTTTAAACGCGATCGTTATCCATTTGCAACACGTTTTCCTCCCTTGTCGTCGCCATTATCTCACTTTACTGTGCACTGAATTTCAAGCATAAACTGGAGGCGGATGAATCGCGTCAAATTTCAAAAACACATTTATAAAATACATCAAAATGAACTCCTTCTGAAAGCTAATGATATTTTGTAAAAGACTATTTCTATTCTTCACACTTATTTTCACAAAATTTTGCTAAACTTGAATATTATGTATGAAAATTTATTTAAGTACAGTACTTCATAAACTTGATTTCATAAGTAAAAATATATTCGAATTTTAATTTTAAGATGTTTTTGCTAACGATTATTGTTTTTTTTTTTTAAATCTTACTCGAATATCTCTATATAAACATGGCTATTTGCTTCATTTTCAATCACGAGATTTCAACGAAGCTTTTTAAGATAATTCGATTCATCGATATCTTTTATTCATCAGCTTTAGTACGAAATAAAATTTCACAATATGAGTAAAAAGTAAAACGATAGAAGTTAATGTTTCCTTGAACAATTTTTTTAAATTCTTAGTTAAAATACTGACAATCATTATAATACAGTCACAAGTATAATTAGTTATAAAAAGTTACTTTAATCATACTTAATGTTTTCATCCAATATGACAATTCGCACGTAAATCCAACGTACTGTACATACGTTCAATTACTATAATATATTTATGAAATGCCACTTTCGACTATTATAAATAGTTATTATCCTTTAATACTTTCGCTCTAATTGGCGCGTAATTGTTTAATTTTAACTCGATTCGTCCTCCAATCCCATTCATTAGATTCATCTTAAGATATTATTTGCTTTAAAAAAATCATTATTTTTATAATTTTTCTTGTGTTATTTTATAATTTACGATAAAAATAATAAGTTATGTTGATAATATATTCAGTAGAAAAAGAATTTTAAGTATTATAAATTATAGTTACTATGAATAAATCTGCAGTTTGCTATAAATCTGATTAAAATTCTATACCCCTTCTGGATTAATGCTATAAAATATCTCAATTTCTTTACGTGTAGCCTAAGTAGATTAAAATATTATTTGATAACGAATTAATTAAATTTAGATATATTAATTTACAATTAATTATAATGTTTACCTTACTTTAAACACGTTAATGAATTTGTTACATGCTAACGATATAATTTTTCGTTCTTAATATTTAACGCGCAATATCATTTCCAAATAATTATACAATTATAGTTTAGCTAATCTACACTTAAAATTTCACATAAACATTCACCAAAATATTATCGTCATTAAACATTTCAATGTATTATTTGTAATTGCTGTAGAATGAATATTAAAACTTTGAAAAATAATTAGATAGAGATATAATTTGTTTAACGATTATTTAATGAAACTCTGAGTTATTTAGGCCTAATACTAATTTGTAATTTTGATTCACTATATATTTCAAATTAATTTTTTAAAATAATTTTGAAAATTCTGTACAATGATCTTAACAGTAACTAGTTCATATTTTTCATTTAATTTCAAAAGATATTTTAGGAATAACCAGCGTAGTAAACGCCATAAATTGATACTTTTATATTTTTATTTGATGTATTTTACTATATAAAATTTCATGTAATATTTTTTACTAAACAATTTTATCGAAGTTATCTTTACAATAAATTTACTATACAGTGAAACCTCGATATAGCGCCTTCCTAAATAGCGTCACTTTCGTAAAGCACCGACGAATGCTTGTGAACATATTCCTCATAAATACTAAGTAAAGAATCTCTCGGTATCTGTATCTTACTAAACGTACGATTTTGCATTGAAAAACGACAACGTTATCACCGTATCACGTGTCTTTCAAACACTGAATCTCATACTAGTATAATAGACCTCATTACTCAATTTAATTCGCGGTACTTCAGTTTAGCACCACGCTCGATTTAGCGCAAATTTCAGAGGCGAACAAATGCTGGCGTGAAATGAAGTCTGACGGTATCTTTGAATATTTTTATGATTCTAATTTATGCGCTTTGCAACACGTTCTTCTTCAACGAGAACATAAGTAAAAAGTACAAGTATTAATATTCAACGCCGAATAATTCAAAAATAGATACGACACGAAACATATTGCATTTATGGTAGTGATGTAGATACTTGGGATTTTGAATTCTTTCCACCTCGATGACCGTTACCCTTATTCCTTCGTTATTGACTTAACGTATTTCAACGTCAGTGGCCGGAGCGATAGACTCACCAGCTGTCACTAACTGCATCTACGAAACTGTCCACTTCCGCTTTACTGACTTTCCGGATGTTGTTATCGGAACGGAACTGCCTTCCTTCCGAAAATTCTATGGCAACGATTTAATTTCGCTGCAAAACATGGCTTAGAACTAAAGTTTGCTTGACTATCGTCATGTGAAAGCTCCATTAAACGTGTTTTCACTTCTCTTTGAAAGAAATAGAAAATTTTCGATTTAATTTATTTCTTTTTTCTTTCTGACGATGACAAATTCTTTATCGTAATTTTTAAAATTTAATAAAGATCTAAGATTTCTATCGAAATAAGTTCGCTGAGGAAATTCTTCAGGTGTCTGAACTTTCGATGACTCCTCTCTGTTATAAATTGATTAAAAAGAATTCGGAAGTTTTCGAAAGCCTTCGTGATATAAACGATAATATTTTTGAATAAATTCTTTATAGAGCTTTCGTATAATAATAAGCACGCCAATATAGAGTACTAATTAATTTTCGATTTTTATTTATATAAATATATAACTTATGTCAAATTCTTTCGAAATGAAAAGCAAAACTATAGATTCTTTAAAAATTTACTATTGTAATTTCATATCCCCTTGTGCATTTTTATAAATTATAGATATTAATTTTAATATAAATATAATTGAAATTAGAGAAAAATCGAACATATAATTAATGAAGTTTATTAAATAATTCGTAATTTTACACACAAATAAAAAAATAAATTTAATAATTTCTGATGTAAGTATTTATCAATATAATATTTGCGTTATATTTACATTATCATATATTTGTAATTACATTAATATTTTTTCTATGATTGTACAGTAATTATGTAAATTTGCATTTTGTTTTCTTTTATTATTGATGATTTTGAATTTTTCGTCTCTGAATTCAATTTTTCTAAATTTGGGCATTTTTTTAAATCTAGAAATCTTCAAAGCAACAATATCACAATATTGCCAGATTTTGTTTTTCAACACTTGTCCAAACTGAAAGATCTGTGAGTAAATATACTATTTATATATATTTCTTCGTATGTACTGTACAGTACTTTGATGCGAACATTAAATATTGCCATAAATTTTAATAATAGTGGAAAAAATGTCATTATTATTATATTTTCTGTGAAAATATGATAAAAAAGTTTTATTTTATGTTCTAAAAATAAATAAATTAAGACTGTTAGAACGTAAAAAAGTATTTTATTGAGAATTACATTTGTTTAAGCTTATTTAGCTTATACTGTAATAAAATTTGATTATTTAAAGAAACGATGATAAAATTTTACTCATACAATGTCGTAATTCACAATCGTTAACACCATTTCTAAAAATTATTTTTACTTTTAATAGTAAAAGTAAAAATAGAAATTAATAAAACAATATTTTTATTTAATTACTCTGTTTTAATAGTCAATTAACCAGAAAATAAACAGATTTCTTTTGGTTTAGATAATAAACTTATGCCTGAAAGTTTATTTTCTTTAACCTTTTTTCTCACTTTTTATTGAATCTATGGGGAGATTGTATTGAGTAATAAAACTTTTATATCGTTTCTAGCAATTTGGCCGATAATCAATTATCAAATCTTTCTCGTGAAGTGTTCTTCGGTCTTGACAAGATAAGAACTCTGTAAGTATTTACGTTATTTTAAATTAAATTTATGAATAATTATTTGCATCTTCTGGTGTTATAAAGATTTTTGTTTTTCAAACCTTAATTATGATCTGAAAACTTATCGATAATGTAACAATTTATGAAAATAAGATACGTTCTCAAGAGAAAAAAACATTACATTATTTCAAAAAGGAAGTAAAGGTATAAACTGTAGAAATCCGTAATTTTAATCATTATTAATGTTAAAAAGGATTAAAAATTTAATTAAATTGCAATTCGCTTATTCGATTCATCAGCTTTTGTATCAGGAACGAAGCGAATGAATAACTTTAGATACTCAAATACTAATACAAAAAATAAATATATTTTAATAACCGTAACTGAATAATATAATGTATATCTCGTGAGTAAACGTTCGTGAGTTAATAGTTGAGAAGAATAATAAGTATAAAATAAATTATTTGAAAAATAAATAATCTAATTTCAGTGTCGTTTTCTATTTTATTTTTTCCTTAACTATATTTATTATATAATTTTATGTTGTTTAGTTTATATTTATGTATATACATACACACACACACAGACACACTCGGTTTAAAATTAAGTATTAATAAGAAATTATCATAACAAATTAACAAATATTAATGTTATATTTTCCTTAATAATATTAAAAATATGAACAATTATTTTAATGATACTGTAAAATAGCCTTTGTTTAAAAAATTATAATTATAAAACGCATTTTAATAGAATATAAAACTTAAAATAATTTAAAATAAAACAATATATGTTTAACGACTTAAAAGAATATGGTTTAGTATTGGTAAACTTATTTACTTGAAAAATCGTTTATTATAATACAAAATTCTTTTTAAAAAAGGCACAATAAAGCTTTATTTATTTTGCTGACGTTTTTGCATTTCTTAACTTTTGGTTGCTTTTAGTTGGAAATATCTTTAAGCACATACAATCTATCAGTTCATAATTGCAATTATTATCAATTCCCTTTTCTTCGCCCAGTTCCTTGCAGAGCAACAAATTAAAGAATGTATCAAGTGCATTTCAAGAGTTTTTGTTGTTGGAAAATTTGTGAGTATTCTACCAATTTTCTTTTCAATTTGCTTTCTATAACATCACCTATTATGCATCTAACTATGTTTTCTTATTTTATTAAATTTATTCTTTTATCATTTAAATGGCTTCCTTTCTTACTTCTCGTATCCCTTAGTTTTGCACGATAGCTACACATTTCATATTTTATAAGCCTACACCTCGTGTCATTTCTAATGACATAGCGCCTTCCTAAATAGCGTCACTTTCGTAAAGCACCGACGAATGCTTGTGAACATATTCCTCATAAATACTAAGTAAAGAATCTCTCGGTATCTGTATCTTACTAAACGTACGATTTTGCATTGAAAAACGACAACGTTATCACCGTATCACGTGTCTTTCAAACACTGAATCTCATACTAGTATAATAGACCTCATTACTCAATTTAATTCGCGGTACTTCAGTTTAGCACCACGCTCGATTTAGCGCAAATTTCAGAGGCGAACAAATGCTGGCGTGAAATGAAGTCTGACGGTATCTTTGAATATTTTTATGATTCTAATTTATGCGCTTTGCAACACGTTCTTCTTCAACGAGAACATAAGTAAAAAGTACAAGTATTAATATTCAACGCCGAATAATTCAAAAATAGATACGACACGAAACATATTGCATTTATGGTAGTGATGTAGATACTTGGGATTTTGAATTCTTTCCACCTCGATGACCGTTACCCTTATTCCTTCGTTATTGACTTAACGTATTTCAACGTCAGTGGCCGGAGCGATAGACTCACCAGCTGTCACTAACTGCATCTACGAAACTGTCCACTTCCGCTTTACTGACTTTCCGGATGTTGTTATCGGAACGGAACTGCCTTCCTTCCGAAAATTCTATGGCAACGATTTAATTTCGCTGCAAAACATGGCTTAGAACTAAAGTTTGCTTGACTATCGTCATGTGAAAGCTCCATTAAACGTGTTTTCACTTCTCTTTGAAAGAAATAGAAAATTTTCGATTTAATTTATTTCTTTTTTCTTTCTGACGATGACAAATTCTTTATCGTAATTTTTAAAATTTAATAAAGATCTAAGATTTCTATCGAAATAAGTTCGCTGAGGAAATTCTTCAGGTGTCTGAACTTTCGATGACTCCTCTCTGTTATAAATTGATTAAAAAGAATTCGGAAGTTTTCGAAAGCCTTCGTGATATAAACGATAATATTTTTGAATAAATTCTTTATAGAGCTTTCGTATAATAATAAGCACGCCAATATAGAGTACTAANTTCCAAGTATGATTTGAAGTAACGTTAAGCCTTGGTTGTAAATGTAAATAAAATATGCAAAAATAGAATTCTTTTCTAAACTTTTCTAAGCCATTCATAAATCATTGTTGAGTACAAAATTGTTTTAATTAAATGTTTCCAGTCATTGATACTACTGCGTAATTTTAATCATCAAAGTTGTTTTTATGTTTTATTTATATAAAAGTATCTAAACATTAAACTTTCTTTTTAATTTAAATAATTCTTTTTTTAGACAATTTCTTTTTTTGGAAATAGAGAATTTAAATGCATAGAATTTGGTATAAACTGCTGAAATTATTTTGATTTTGATGAGATATTGTTTTAAAAATGAGATGAAAATTGAAAAATGATCTGCATATTTCCAAAAAAAACTCTCGATACGAGTGGGTTCGGTTTAATACTTGTCGTCATAAAATGAGTGGTTACCATGGTAACAGAGAGACATTGTCCCTCGATTTCCTATGTCTGTTATCTTGACACTCTTTATAGGAGATAAAACTGAGCAGAAAAGTCCAGTGACCTTCTCAACTCGTCCTTTACCTCATCACCTTATAAGTTCATTGCCGGATGGAGATTTTTATACCAAACTCAATTTTCATTCTGTAGCATTTATGAAACCAAAATTGTAGAGATTTACGAATATATAAATTAAATTATTTTAGAAAGTCGATCGATAAAGCGTCTAAAGGTGTAAAAATAATTTAAAATTATGAAATTTATAAGAAAATAAAACAGAAAGTATACTAAAATTTGGAACAATGTTCCTCCATTCGAAAAAAAATAATAATAATACTTATTCAAAAAAAGAAAAAAGTATATTTTTAAAATTTTATTTTGAGGAAATGATTACAAAATAAAATAAATAAGCTAAATTTAAATATAATTTATTACAAATACCTGGAATAATTGTTTTAAAATAAATGAATATATAAAAATTGTAAATTAAATATTTAATTTTATTTTCTATTTTCTATTTTCAAATGCTTTTCTAGTGGTGTTAACAGGAATTTTGTTTCCTTAGAAACTAATTAATGGTTTATTTTTGTTTAATTTTCTTCGTTGTGTTTCGTTTTCTTTACGTGCTGCCATCTGTCGAGATGAGAAAAATTTATCATGCGTGGTGATGTTTGATTTATATATTTTATATACAGTATTTTGGTGGTTTTAAAAAACCAAATTTAATTACTTTAAAAGCAGTTTACATAGTATGTTAAATATAACGTTTCAAATTGCTACTGTTCTTAATTACAATTTGATTTTCAATAATAGGTTACAAGGAACAAAACAGGGTTAGGAGTACAGTATTTTGCTATAATAATATTATAAAACTGAAAATATAAATGATTTTCATAAATATTTTTGTAGGATATTATCAGAAGTGAGAAAAATGGAAGAATTTCCAGATCTGAAAGGGACGAGTGCATTGGAACACTTGAGATTAGATCGTGCCAGTTTGAAAACCGTACCGGAGGATTTGTGCCTAAAAGTACCAATGCTAATCAAACTTGTTCATATAAAGTATTAATGTTAATATTATTTAAATTAAATAAATCGCATTTATTATTTAGACACTTAGAAGAAAATCAGCTGACCTTCGTCCCCGCCGGAAGTTTCAGAGGACTAAAGAAATTGCAAAAACTGTGGCTGCATAGAAACATGTTAACGGAAGTCCCGAGTGAATCATTAGGGGAATTGACCGAGCTAGAAGCTCTGTAAGTTATTTCCATCAAATACAGGTAAAATGCTCGGTTCGAACAGTTAGAGCTATATTCTCTTAACCAAATAAATTGATATATCAGAAGCTGAAAGGATAAAGAAGACGACAAGTGGAAAATAAGAATGTCATTGATGAACCAAAAGCATTGTAACTATCTGGCATTCAGAGCATGTTCATAAATCAAATATTTACCTAGCGATTTTATATCTAAAAAATAAAATGGAATTTCTCTTCTGATATAAATATGCAAGAACATAGCATAAAAAAACTCGATANAAACAATCGTTATCTAAATTTAAATAAAAATTCATTCAACATACTTTTTGTGAAGGAAAAAAAATATTTTTCACATTTAAATTCCAAATATATTTAAAATTCTTAATTAAAGTCTACTTGTGAATACAAATTGAATTTTCCTCCTCTTTCCTAAATTATATGTCACATTGAAGTTGGAAGAAAATTTTATTAGTTAATATTATATAAAAATTTTAGTAGTCAACATTTTAAAGTTTATTAAGTATGATTATAAACAATTAAATTTTGTATCAAATTAAAAAAATAAATAAATAATTTTTTACAGAATGAAACAAAGATGCTAATCCCAGGAGAATGCTGTGATGAATGTGTAGAAGGTGACTATAAAGATTTACATATATTATTATGTATTATTATTAAAATTAATTTTAATAATAATATTATATCATCTTTTCTTGAACTTAAAAAGTTAACATCATCTCCTAAGACAAAAACTATACAGTATTTTTGACTAAGGTTTATTTGATCACACATAAATATTTATATCTGAAGAAATACTGAATATTCTGGCGTATAAGACGACTTTTTAACCTAGGAAAATCTTCTCAAAAGTTGGGGGTCGTCTTATACGCCAGAATATATGGTATTTAATACTCTCTGAAAGCATATATATGAGTGATTTGAAAAGTTTGCAGCCTGACTTGTAGATGGTGATAGTAAGTCAGATATTTTTTCATATTTTAGAAATTTTCACGAATAATTTTTCTAAAAGTGAGCTTTAATAAACATTTTTTCTCGACTAGGGATATCAAAAATAATAGACTTCGCCAATTCCCAAGTGCTATATCGACTCTCTCGTCTCTTAGAGAACTGTAAGTGATCGAGTTAATAATTTATGAACATATTTTTTCTACGCTTAATTTTATAAATTTCGTTTAAGATCATTCGCCAACAACGGAATCAATTATCTTCCTAACCACATATTCCAAGGATGCCCGAAATTAACTCTCTTAGAAATGGGAAAAAATCCTATTTCCGAAATTGGCGTGTATACATTTTATAATATGGCTTACTTAAAAAAATTGTAAGTATTCTCTTCGTGTATCTAATTAGTAATAATCTGTAGAGATTAATAAATATAATATTATACATTTAAATGCTTTCTACGCGTGTACGAATCACGTAATAATTCTAGTTCTTTTTACTACAATTATATTGATTATCATCAGAAGTTTAAGATGAATTAAAAGAGTTTATTATATATCAGAATTTAACGATGTACAAAATAATTTTCGAGAAAAGAGTATTATTTTAAAAAGTTGCTACCAGTTTTTATGACACGAAAATAGCTTGCTACCCTGTTGAAATAAACTAAATAACTGCCAAAGTTAAATAAACAAGTCATAGGACTATAAATATTTGCCTTCTACATTAAACATTCTCATTTTTTAATGATGAAAATAAATATTTTATATTGTTGTTGTTATGGTGTTAAATTTGTAATTAATATTCATATCCTCTTTAATACTTTCCAAGTATGATTTGAAGTAACGTTAAGCATTGGTTGTAAGTGTAAATAAAATATGCAAAAATAGAATTCTTTTCTAAACTTTTCTAAGCCATTCATAAATCATTGTTGAGTACAAAATTGTTTTAATTAAATGTTTCCAGTCATTGATACTACTGCGTAATTTTAATCATCAAAGTTGTTTTTATGTTTTATTTATATAAAAGTATCTAAACATTAAACTTTCTTTTTAATTTAAATAATTCTTTTTTTAGACAATTTCTTTTTTTGGAAATAGAGAATTTAAATGCATAGAATTTGGTATAAACTGCTGAAATTATTTTGATTTTGATGAGATATTGTTTTAAAAATGAGATGAAAATTGAAAAATGATCTGCATATTTCCAAAAAAAACTCTCGATACGAGTGGGTTCGGTTTAATACTTGTCGTCATAAAATGAGTGGTTACCATGGTAACAGAGAGACATTGTCCCTCGATTTCCTATGTCTGTTATCTTGACACTCTTTATAGGAGATAAAACTGAGCAGAAAAGTCCAGTGACCTTCTCAACTCGTCCTTTACCTCATCACCTTATAAGTTCATTGCCGGATGGAGATTTTTATACCAAACTCAATTTTCATTCTGTAGCATTTATGAAACCAAAATTGTAGAGATTTACGAATATATAAATTAAATTATTTTAGAAAGTCGATCGATAAAGCGTCTAAAGGTGTAAAAATAATTTAAAATTATGAAATTTATAAGAAAATAAAACAGAAAGTATACTAAAATTTGGAACAATGTTCCTCCATTCGAAAAAAAATAATAATAATACTTATTCAAAAAAAGAAAAAAGTATATTTTTAAAATTTTATTTTGAGGAAATGATTACAAAATAAAATAAATAAGCTAAATTTAAATATAATTTATTACAAATACCTGGAATAATTGTTTTAAAATAAATGAATATATAAAAATTGTAAATTAAATATTTAATTTTATTTTCTATTTTCTATTTTCAAATGCTTTTCTAGTGGTGTTAACAGGAATTTTGTTTCCTTAGAAACTAATTAATGGTTTATTTTTGTTTAATTTTCTTCGTTGTGTTTCGTTTTCTTTACGTGCTGCCATCTGTCGAGATGAGAAAAATTTATCATGCGTGGTGATGTTTGATTTATATATTTTATATACAGTATTTTGGTGGTTTTAAAAAACCAAATTTAATTACTTTAAAAGCAGTTTACATAGTATGTTAAATATAACGTTTCAAATTGCTACTGTTCTTAATTACAATTTGATTTTCAATAATAGGTTACAAGGAACAAAACAGGGTTAGGAGTACAGTATTTTGCTATAATAATATTATAAAACTGAAAATATAAATGATTTTCATAAATATTTTTGTAGGATATTATCAGAAGTGAGAAAAATGGAAGAATTTCCAGATCTGAAAGGGACGAGTGCATTGGAACACTTGAGATTAGATCGTGCCAGTTTGAAAACCGTACCGGAGGATTTGTGCCTAAAAGTACCAATGTTAAAGAGTCTGTAAGTATTTCATAATAGCCTAGTATAATTTAACGTTAAATATTAATTTTTAATAATTTTATGTGAAGAAATAAAGTAATAAAAACGTTAATATTAATTATTAAATGCTGGCAAAGATTGTTAAATTTTAAATTTGAGAACTATTTCTAACAAAATTTCGCTTGTACGACATAGTAAATAGGATTTTAAAAAATGGCGATGAAATCATTCAGAAGAAACGGAAATATTTCATATTTCTTTACATTTTTTGTGTGGGTGAGTGATAAATTGTTTTGTTATTGTCACGAAACATTTCTTAAAACTTTTCCTTTATAATTTAATATATCATTTGCTGTTGAATGGATATAATGATTGGTTCTTCTAGATCAAAAAATGAAACCTAATTTCTTCATCGAATCATTGTCCTAGATTAACGACGTGGCTATCTTAAGAATCCTAAGAGTTAGATCAAGGACAAGAATTTAGAGAATATTTAGGGCTATTCGAATCTTTGAACCTAATGAAAAACATGACATTCGATTCTTTAACTTCTTTAAAATACAATCTCATTCTCAAGTCCTGATTACTCGAACACAAAATTAAAAGATGATTGAAAATATCCTCCATTAAAAAATTAATGCAATATGATAAATGTAAAATTAGAATGTTATTAAAGAGGTTCGATATAATTGAATCTAATCGAACGAAGTAAGAAAAACGAAAATAAAATAATGTATTAAAAATCGGTTACATAATTTTATTTCTAGACAAAATTCTGTGGAAAGTGCATTTAGATTAGGAAAATTAATTCAAGATTCTTAGATCTTAATAGATTCTTACAAAATATAGAGATACTGTAACTAATTTGTAGAGGTTTTATCAACCTCAGCTAATTTACATTGTTACTCACTTCAACCGAAGAACTATCTCATTAAGTATCCTATTTAGTAAAAAAGGTAAATAAGAATGCATTTATTACTAAATTTCAGTTATTACATAAAGGATGTAAAGTTTAAATCCATATTTTTGAAGTCTTACGTCTGAGGTCAAAGATAATCAAAACTTAAGGATGAATTTAAATAACAAATTAAAAGGTGTATTTGTTAATAACATTGATAAACTCATAGAGAAATTATTTAATCCCGTTTGGTCATTTTTTAGATGCAGCTTTCCTATAAATAATCAAAATTTTCTTAATTCTGGTGATTTATTTCTGGCATCAAATTTTTATATTTTTGAAAAATTTCTTTTGATTTAATATTTTGGGTTAGATATACCAATGAAAGTTTATTAATGTTAATTTTTAAAGTTATTTGTTAGTAGCAAGTCGTCAAAATAAACCACAGTTTCATCGTTGGTGATCGTCTTCCTTTTAATTCTACCTACAACGAATAAAAAGTATGATATAAAATCTATGCTCTGTAAAAATTTTTAAGTATCTCTTTACCATTAGAATTTACTGATAAGATAATAGAATTATATAATTGTATAATATGTTCAAAAATAACTGTCCATGACAATAGATATTCTGCTTAGTAAAATGTGTACATATAAATAATGTTATGTAGTTACTATAAGTGAAATCAAAAAAGAAACAAATTGTTTTGACTTCTTAGAATTATTGGAAAAATCATTTTTAAAAATCAATATTTTAAAATTAAAAAGGGGTTTAAAAATTTAGTTAAAAAGCAAAAAGTAAAATATACATAATTAATCAATAAAAAGCCGAACAAAATGAGAAATTCTTTTAACTTCAAAAAAATCAATAAATCGTATTAATATTAAATTTGAATTAACTGCTGCATAAAGTTACTTTAATAAATTATAGTTTGATAACCAACAATAATTACTATTATCATAGAGTAAATAACATACATCTTGTAAAGCCTTGTATGTTTCTGAAATCGAGATTTTACTTTATATAAATTTATTAAATTACCTTTTCATGAATTAATTTATTCAACTAATAAATATGTAGGCCTCTAACAATATTGCCAATATCAATCTTTGTAAATTAAATTAATATTTAGAGATATCAAAGAAGGAGGAATAATAAAAGTATTTATTTTATTATTCTACATTTATTCAGATCTCTAAATCTTGATTTGATTTACAAATACTGATAAAAATGAAGTCTCATAATTACCCTTCAATGACTGCGATCTCGAGATTTGGAAAATACTTAATGCAATGACGAATATCAGACTCGTCAATAGAATAGAAATAAATTAGGAAATTGAAAACTAGCCAATGACTTAAGTATCAGAAAGAAAAGTACAGTATGCCATGTTACAATATTTTTACTGTCAACGGATGTTTCCAAAATAAACTTTTTTGGAAGAAATATAAACTATATTCAGCTTTGGTAGATCTTTGTAATGGTAATTATTTCATTTATAGAACATTTCTTTAAAAAATATTTCACCCAAACGAAAAGAGCAATTAAATATTTCAGTCGTTCATAAATTTGCTAGCCATTATCTTTAATGATAATATTTCTCCTAATGGATTTAGCCAATTACTTTCTATAGTTAAGGAAATTCCACAGAACGAATGCATAGGTCTCACTTTATTCAGTCTTTTTATCAATGGTGTAAACGAAATTTAATGGAGACATACAAAGTTTCGGCGTTTATCTTAATCTGTTATCAGTTTATTTAATATATTGCTTGTGATAATTCAGACTATAAAATTATTTAATTTTTTCTAAAATTAGGTAAGATGAAATAATTTAATAGGTTATTCCAAAACAGGTGTATAGCTATTATAGTTAAAAATCAAAAACATGAATATATTATCATAACCTCAAAGTTCTTTATTCGTAATAACAAACGTAGAGATCATTTCTATCCTTAACTATTAAGTCCTTATTCACATTCAGATATTTAAAATGATGATTAAGAAAAATTTTATTCGGATCATTAAGAACTTCAAAAGAAACTATTAAAAGCAGAAAACATTACATATAAATAATTTATCCATTTTCTAATTTTGTCATCTATTCTCATCTTAGAAAGTCTGTTAGTCATTAAATTCATAAAATTCATTTAAGACATTTCAAATTTTTAATGAAGCCAAATATTTTACAATGCTCAATATCTGGCTATATTACGAAATCTTTAAGTTTGTTAATAAAGTTAAGTATTAGATTGTAAATCCGAGATATTTTTCTTTATCAGCGACCCTAATCGCAGGGTTAGTTGAGATTAGGGCCGCAGAGAGAATCTGAAATTAGGACATTTACGAATCCCTAATCACAACTTTTATATTTATTTCTATACCCTTTAAAGACGACCTTGACGCCAATAAATATTATTATAAAATAATCAGGAAGCATCATATCTCAATCTTAATATTTATTCCTGTTTTAATTAGAACATTGTTATTGATAATAATTGAGGGACAAGTTTGACTTGCATTAATAAAATTCAATTTCTATATTGTTTTAATACACAAACATTAATCATTACCGAATTTATATAAATCCAATTAATACATTTAATTGATTACATGTTGAAACTGGTTAATATCATTAGTAGATATTAGTAGGACCTATCAATATAAATTTTTAATAAATATTTTAAAAACTCTTCGAATAATGTAAAAACTGTTGAATAAAAATCGCTTTTACATTTATATAAATATAATTTTATTATACTAAATTTGATGATTTTTATACGTTGTTCGTTTGAATTTGATTTAATATGGCAAGGATTAAATTAAGCAGTTAAGTTAAGAATTCGTTTAATCATTATTGGCATTTGAGCTTTCGAGCATGTACTATAAACAATTAGTCATAACAATAATTAGTTGACTGTACAGCAGAGATTCGACTACAACACTTCAGAAACACTGATTTCGATTTAAACAAATTTATTAATAAGCTAATTGACATATTGATTTGATTTAAATTACAATATCCTCTTTTAAAGTTGATTTGTCTATCTTATTTGAATTCCTGCATAATAAAATATTAAAAAAAAAAGGAAATACTATTTCTTCACTTTGGAAGAAACTTTTAAGATTCGTTCGGTAGCACGAATTTTTCTCATTTTTTAAAATATCTGTTTTTAGCTTATCAATTATGAATCTTTTTATTTTACGAAGTTAATAAAGTCAAGAAAATTCCATTTTATGAATCATTTGTTTAATTAACGAAGTTTACAATTTACTGTGCTAATTTTAGTATCATAAAGTTAAATTATTTGTAAATATTTGTAAAATGTTATTAATGCTTTAATATTTATTAAATTGTATAATATTTTATTTAACTTCCAATTTAATAATTTTTATTCTCAGGAATTTAAAATCGAATAAATTGAAAAGCCTTCCCCGTTTATCTGGATGTAAGGAGCTAAGATTTATGTAAGCGTTTTGTTAAAAATCTATGAGAAAATTATAATCAGTTTATCTCAAATATAAACTTGACATAAAAGTGCTCTTTTTTTCTTCATAGTGATCTAAGTTACAATCTTATCGATTCATTAGGAGAATCTCCTTTTTCAAAACTTAGCAAATTGATCGATCTTTTCCTAAGTAACAATTTGATCGAGCGAATTGAATCTGATTCTTTCGAAGGATTAGATAACCTTCAAGTGCTGTAAGTAACTACAAAAAATGATTTATTAAACTACGTTTTGAGATATTGTGTATATACACGGAAAGTTTTTGTATCTAACAAAAGCAATTAATTCAATTCATAAATTTCAAAAACAATATATATATATTTATTTTATC